CGCCCAGCGGCTGTCGGGGCTCTCGGGGCTGCTGGAAGAAATGCTGCTCACATTGCAGCCTGAGCACAGCCTGGGGTTAGAAACAGTGGGGAACGTTAAAGGAAACTTATTTACAAAGGCAAATTAAAAGATCTTTAAAGTCCTATCTTGCAAGTAGTTGGCAGGTTTAAAGGTAAATGGATAAGGCCTTACTGATTTTAAATACAAGCAGGGAATAGGTTAACTCTGCAATACGCATGGTCTAAAATTGACCCTGAATTACTTCTTTTGTCTGATTTTCCTGATATTGACGGTAGTTGAAAGTCACTTATTACTACGGAACTTAAGTGAATTCTGATTTTAGGTTTCTGTTCAGTCTGTAAGAACCATTTTCAGGGTTAGTTTTAGAGCTTATTAGCAGACTCTGTCATGTTAGCCCTGTCCTCGTTTCCCCTTTCCGCCTTTCATTATCTTGGCTGCTTCCTCCAAAAGCTTTGCAGACCCACCTGCCCCATGCATCTGAATGGGATGTTCTGCAGCTTCTAGCTGGTCCCGCATTCCCTCCTCTCCCCATACAGGTGAAAAAAATGGCCAGGCCAAAGGTTTTGGGGTGTTTATAAAGAGGGGGAGGAAAGTCATGGAATTAAGCACACAGGAGGGGTTATGGAGTAGTTATTTTCCACAACCTGTTTTGTGACAGGATCAGATGAGGCTGTGAAGGCAAGAGCTGATGGTGCTTTTGCAAGTGCAGGCATGTCCTGCAGAGCTGTAGGAACACAAGCCCCCACGCATCTGCATTGTCCCCTAGGGATCTGTTTGTTGCCACTGGCTAAGACTGCTGGCATTGCTAGGAAGTGAAGGAAGAGCATTCTGCTTTGTCTTAGTGAGGGCATTCAAAAGCTACAGATAAGACACGAGACCCTGAGGCCTAAATTTGGTTGGTATGAAAAGATCTTTGGGTTACCTTGAAAATACGTGATAGCTGCACTTCTATCGGAAATCACCAGCGATGACTCAGATGACTTCAGGCTCTGTCTTGTTACAAAAGCTGTTGCATATCAAGGCACTCTAGCTTAGGAAGAACACTGAAGTGAAGAGTTTTAGAAAACCAGCTGTATGGTTGGGTTTGAGCTGCACAGGCATTTTCCTCAGTCCTTGCTAAGTTAGATCTTAACCGTGTAAAACTAGCATTACTCATGCACGTACAAACGCTGTACATTGAAAAGTATACGCGGTTTTCACCTCGCTAGACAACAGCATTTTGAAAGAGAACTAAAATTAAGTATTCTTAACTACAAGTACCGTAGAGGCTGTAAAAAAAGCTGTTATATTGTAAAATGTGATTATCTCTAGTTGGTAAGACACAGTTAGAACACCGCAGATAGTACAACACAGAAAATATGTATATGTGTCTTTGAGGACACTTAACATGACCGTTGCTGAATGGGGTTTGCATTGGTCTTGGTTCATTGATTGCTTGAAATGTTTGGATTGCCCTGTTGGAACGAAGCTGTTGCACTACCCTCCTGCATAAGAGCTAAGTAGCCTCACTGCTCTCGCTAGTTGCCTGCTTAGCTAAAACTTCAGTTTATTTTTAATCTCATTAATTTTATTTTTTGCGCACTGTTTCACTGTAAGGTCCTGGTCCCCAAAGGTGTTGAGCTCCCCTCTTTGCCACAGTCAGATCCTGAGGATTAAACTAAAGCTCAATATTTACACTTTTAGTGGGGGGAGAGCTTTTATTCTTCTAAATGTTTCTTTTGGGTTTTCAAGCAATTCTAAAGTAAGAATAATTGACGAATGATCTCGTAGACGTTCTGTCTTTTTAGTTAGCCTCGCCTCTTAGCTGAATGAATTCATGCGATTTTCAATTTCGTATTAGGTCAGCGTTTGTTTGGGGAGACAATCCTAGGGCTAACACAAGGCTCTGTCTCAGACCTTCTGGCTCGCCCGAAGCCCTGGCACAAGCTGAGTTTGAAGGGACGGGAACCCTTTGTCCGCATGCAGCTGTGGCTGAACGATCCCAACAACGTGGAGAAGCTGATGGATATGAAACGAATGGAGAAAAAAGGTAACTTGGAGCAGACTGCTGACTCGTGTTTTCCGTTATTTCAGAGATGACCGTGTCTTTTATAATTCTCCATAAATAGTATCAAGGCAGCATTGATCCAGTATTATGAAGGTTATGCAAAAGGACTTCATGACAGCTTTTTCATAGCTTTATTTGATGCTAGCTCAAGCAGATACATCACAGAAAAACCCCAAACAAACAAAAAAAAACCAAACAAAAAACCAACCGCAAACCCTGAATATTCACCAGCTGTCGTGAAATCATTGCTATATTCTCCTATAGATAAATTACTGAGGCCCTGGTGTATCACTGATAACTTGCCTTACCAAATGAGAAATGTGAGTTTGGGAGCTGGCTTTGGGTTATTAGTTAATAGTGCTGCAGCTGGTCACAGATGTTGGGCTGAAAGAACTGTGCATTGATTCCTGAGAGAGCTTCTTGCCAGTCCTGCACTGATGGTCGCTAGGAGGAAAGAAAAATGCAGTCTTTATAAAAGGGTATTTGAGAATAATGAAATTTGTAGCCTTTATAGGGATGGGGGAAGGTGATTGTGTTAATACATGCTCACATAAAACGGCTAGGTCATGAGTATGTACCTGTGAGAGATCTAAGTTGTTACTGGGTATCTTAGTAGGGAGTATATCCTGAAAATTTATCCTACTCTCTATTTTAAATTCATTACTAAAAAACAGTGGTTGAATTCAGAGCCCTGGTTTTAGTATGTTCATGTGATTTTACAAGACAGACTCTTAGGCTGCCGTTATCAGCAGTTAACTAATTAATGATCTATACACCTCTCGAGCTATCCCTTAATGATATTAGTACAGACAGCGTTAATCATGTGCGCTGAAAGCACTGCTGTTGACTGATGTCCTGAAAGCATTAACACATTTGATCAAGAACTTTGTGATTATATTAAAAATTGCGGTGAGGGAGCTTCTGGGAAAATTGTAGTCTTGCAGGTTTTTAAGAAGAAATTCAAATCCTTGTCATAGTAACCAGTATAATGTAATGCAGTGCAGTATCTTACCGCAAGTTGTGTATGATCTTCCACGAGGAGTAAAATCCACTTGGGTTTCCCACTTACAATTGTAAACCAAAGGGAGCCATGATGGGTTTTGCTATATTAGAAATATGGCAGAAATAAAATTGTCAACTAGCTGGATTTTTATAGGCTCAAAGAGAATGTCACCCATAATGCAGGAAAATAAAATAAAAATAGTTTAAAAGTAGTACTGACAATATCCTCTCAAAACTATTTTCTAAACTGGATTCTTATCAAATACTGTGCAATACATATGCTCTATAGATGGCACCTGAATAGAGTTAAGGCTATAAATCATCTGAGACCCTATACTGAGCTCCTGAACTGTGTAAGTGCTGTCCTCATAGTAGAGCACTCTAAAGTGAATTCAACCCTGTATTTTCTGCAAAATGCTTTCATGCAGGTAAGGATCCTGTGATTTAACCTTTTAAATTGCTCTAGAGCCACATTAAGAATTTAACTTTCCCTTCAGCTAATGTCAGTTAAAGAACAATGCAACTGTGTCTGCTATCAGTGAAACATTATTATCAATTATTTCTCTGTCACATTTTATTAAGGGAGTAAATTAATAATTATGATAAAGGTGAGCTGCATATACCTTTTTTTCTGTTCTGCCAGTCTGAAGTTTGTGCTATAAATGCCCATTTTAAGAGGTTCTGAAAATTTGCAACATACATTAACTAACCTCTTTGGAGGAAGGCGGGGGTTCACGCTCACTAGGCTGAGACACTCTGCACCACCTTTCCTGCCTTGGAAGAGTTCATTCCTCTTTCTTATAACCTCCCGGTGTGTGTGCTGCTGGTAACGTCACACTCCTCACTGAACAGTACTGAAGCCTGCTGTCAGGAGAAAAATTTAATTCCCTTTATTTCCCCATTATTTCGCTTTTTAATAATCTTGTTCAATACCGCATAAGATAAAAATTATATTAAAAGGGGCTCTGTTTTACCTCAGTGAGCAGCCACTAGTTCTGCAGTAGTGTCTGCCGCGTCTATAGCTGAGCACATGCTGGGGAGTCTTTCCAGGGGGACACGGTGATGCTGGGTTGGCAACAGCCAGGGGGAAAAAAAGGTAGTAAAACTCAGGGGATAGAGCTGGCCTTGAGAAATTGGTCACAGACCCAGATCCAGACCTTTGCCCAAATTACATTTGGGGATTTTTTTTTTCATAGGTCTCCTGAGAAATGGAGACCGATCACAGACAAAAATCAAACTTCCCCGAAAATCAAGTGTGTTTGTGACTTGGATTCCAGTTTGAGCCTTGCTGTCACTGCAAATGTGCTGAATGATCTCCTTATGTTGTCTACACGCAGCACATATGTTTAAAATAAGAATTAAAAAGGAAAAGCTTTTATAAACGTCATGTAAAGTTTCCAGAGAGCACCATTAAAGCCTAAAGCTTAGGTGCTAGTTCAGCACATGGCAAAGTACCAGGATCGTGCCTTTGGCCCAATGGAAATTTGCTCTGATAATATATTATCCTCCAGAAAACCAATTGGTTGTGACAGAACAGTAGGACATCCTCTTTATTTTTATGTTTAAGGAAATATGTGCATTTATATAATTTGTTCCATTCACGTGAGAGAGACCCAAATAAGCTATTGCAACTTTTGTGATCCCGGTGTGAGGTTGCAAAAGCAGAGGTAGGCATAGGGCATGACATTTTTCCCAAGCTATCACAGTTCCGTGCTGTCCTTAGGAGTCTAATGATGGGAGCTCTGACCTGCCAGAAATGCCGTCCTTCGGAGAGCAGAGAAAGCAGAGATTCAGAGCATCCTGATGCATGGGTGTCTCTTGTTAAGTCAGTTGCCTGACCAGATTGCAGAAAGTCCGGTTAGAGATAGCCTAAACACCTTTTACATCTGCCATGTGAGGTTCTGTTTTGTCTCATGGCCTCCTTTAAGCTGCTGCACGTTGCTGAAGTGATAGGTGCTGTCTTTCAGCCCTCTTGGTTGTGCTATCAAAGGAGACAGGGGAACCTTGTGTATAGTTTGCATGTCAATGCAGGTTTGAGGTAACACCTAGTAGTCCTTGAGATTAAGAACCTTATATAAATGTGAGATTATGTTGCTGGAATGATTAATTCCGTGGTTGAAGGTTGTAACAGTTCCTTGAAGGCTGCAAAAATAAGGCCAATAGGTCACCTTGAAATAATGCATTTACCTGTGGTCACTTTGCAGTTCTGCATCCGGTTGGAACAACTTAAATAGGTGATTTTTTAAATGAAGTTTATTTTAAAGAAGAAAAAAACCACTTTGCTTTTTCTGGTTATTTCAAAAGCATGCAGGACTGTATCATGGCAGAGTGATGGATCATGAGCAACTCATGTTCTGTTCCATATCAGTGATCTTACACAGTAGGCAATCCACAGGTAATCTGTCATATTCAGGAAAAACAAAATGAGGGCCATGCAGATACCCCCAAAGGTTACAGAGTGTGTTCAAAATGCACTTTGACGATAGGAAGACACAGTGTAAAAAGGTCCCACTGGACGTACCTCTGTGTAGAGCACAGGATGCTGAAACCCCTTGGAGACAAAACCTAGCCAGTCCTGGATGGAGCTCTGCCAGAAGTTGGCTTGTGTGAGAAGGGCTTTCAACCTTTCCGTTTATTTGATTGAACTGAATTTTTATTCTTTGTGCACCCTCAGCCTAAAGGCAGAGCTGTGGGGAGAGAGAAATTTATTTTTTGAAGAATTTGGTTGCTGACCGGTGTGACGTGCCCCACATTGGTCCCTGGCTCCGATCGGAGCTCCTGGCTGTTCGAGATTTAGTGCCTGCTAGATTGATGTCAGGCTGGTGTAATCTGGAACTTAATAGCCAAGGTTATCAAATTGCAGCTCTTGAATACCTAAACTCTTAAATATCTAGAAAGTATTTAACAGGCCATTAAATATTTTATTGACAAGATTCATCTATATTTGCCATTTTCAGCCCCCTCATTAGCAATGCTTGTGCATAATACTGCCAGGTGCAGTAAATCCCACCTCTTTGCCCGGTGTAAATCAATCAAGTCAGTGACAGCATTTAGTGGGACTCTTTCCTTGCAGAATTTGCCAGGGTAATTCAGTCCCTGGCGGGGAGGAGAGTTAGCAGTGGTATCACAGGCTTCTGCCATCAGCCTCACCAAGCTCCATCAGTGCAGCAAGAGCTTTCTTAAAAGTATATGCATTTTTGAAAGAGCCTTGCGTAGGGGAGGAGGATGCTGTGGGCTGTTTTTCTTTCATAACCTGTCACCGCTATAGCAGAGATCTGTAGGAGAAAGCAGCAAACGCCTGATGGGTTATTCAGCCCGTCACTGGGATCTCCGGGCTCTGGGCGCCATCGTGTGTTGGAGACGTGGCTGCGGCTGCCTTCAGCTTCCACAGTCATATTTTTAATTCAGAGACTTTAAGTGTTAGAGAGACCTTAGTGTACACCTTAAGTGTTTAACAACCAAAACCATTTAAGTTGAAATGAAGTGCAGCTATCCTAATCAGGTGCCTGTGTGGAAGTTCACCACTCTTGAAAGAGTGAATTTGAAGTAAGTCGTGTTAACTGAACCCTGTTATTCATGTCCCATGTTCGCTGAAAAAGCAGAAAACTCTGGCAGGTTTCCAGGCGATTTACCCTCTTTTCTTTCCCTTCTTTCTTCTTTCTCTGCCTCTTGCGTCCTCCCCACGTTTGCTTTCCCCTGATCTCTGATGATGCCCCTTCCTTTCTGTTCTCTCCGAATAGCCCATCCATGCGTCTACAACCTGTCATCTTCGTATTTATTCCACAGCTCATATATTCATTGATTTTGCATTTGTATTCAGCTGGGGCTGATCCGATGCGCCTCTCTTTCAGCCTACATGAAACGGCGACACAGCTCTGTTAGCGACAGTCAGTCTTGTGAGTCCTCATCCGCTGGAATAGACTACAGCCAGGGAGCCAGCCCGCAGCCGCAGCATCAGCTGAAGAAGCCCCGGGTGGTGCTGGCACCGGAAGAGAAGGAAGCTCTGAAACGAGCCTACCAGCAAAAGCCATACCCATCACCAAAAACCATTGAGGAACTCGCTACGCAGCTCAACTTGAAAACCAGCACCGTGATCAACTGGTTCCACAATTACAGGTATGAGATCTCCCGGGAGCCCTACTCATAAAGGATTTATTTTATTTGCTTTGGCAGGGTGCTGCTCTGCTTCAGCAGACTGTGTCTGCTTCTGCTAGCATTGAGCGGTTGTACAAAATGAACAGTTTCGACAGCAGGGAGGTTCTAACTAACAGTAATGCTAATGCTCCAGACTAATTTTAAGTCATCCCTGAGGAACAGCAATATTCACATATTGATGTAAGTAGTGCTTTTAAACAGAAAGTCTCACTTTTGGAGTGGGCGTTGATTTAGAGATGTCCACTGGTGAATATTTATAAATCCCATTGCAGTAAGCAAGACTGGTCTTTCTTACTTGCGTATGCACGCTCACACAGACATATACTCACACATATATACATACATCTAGGTGTGTGTTGTGTGTGTTATGCCTGGGTCACTTGTGGGGGGGGTCCTTGGAAGTGTCCTCTGCTGGATGGCATCAGAATTGCACTGCTTTCATCGCATATTTTTCCCACGTAAGAGCTAAAAGAGGATTTTCTTTTAGGTCTTGAGTCACTGACCTCTGAAAATAGGCACAGTGTGTGCTGTATTTCTGGGAAGCTCCGCACAGTCATGAAGGACAGAGAACCGATAACCCTGAAGTCAGATGTGGCCACAGATTTGTTTCATTATTATGATTAAATCGTTGAGTCCCACTGTAATGAAATAAGATGTTGATCTGTTTAGTTCCTTTCTCAAATTAGAAGGAACCTTCTCCACATTTGAAACATTGAAGTAGGTTTTGGCCTAGAGACACTGATAAACAGAAAAAATGCTGGAATGACATGTAAGAATTATAAGGATTTGAATAAACATACTATCAACGGTGCTTGGGATTGGGAATCTTAATTAGTGCAGCAGACTTTTCTTGAAGAAATTTGTGCTAATGAATATTGAACAGGTACAGTTAAGATACCAGATTTAATACTACTCTGCCCCTTCACTCGGAGCCAGTAATGTTCCTAATTAGTCCAGATTGCTAAACTTGTTTGTTACTAGAAACTGCTAACATTTAAAGGGTATTTTCCACTTTGGCCCTTCTCAGCTTTTAACAGGGAAGTTGCTGAAGCAGAAGCAGCACAGTTTAATGACATATCTCAGAAATATTATGCACAATCGTAAAATAATGTTTATAGTAAACAATATAAAATTTTAAAATTATAACCAACGAGTAATCATATTTACACTGAATTTCATTGACTTGAATTCGCTACAGATGCAGCCTCTTTCACGGCTCAGAGTTCTCCAAATGCAGGCCTCTCTTCCAATTCCCACTTCCAGGCAATTATACACAAGTTGGAGGAATGCCTATGAAAATATGTTCCCTTCGGCCTGACAGCAAAATGTGCTGTTCTCACTTACGCAGACGAGTGCGGGAGCACTGGTGGCATGTGTCATCTTCCTCATTATCATGAGATCTCCTGTTCAGGCATGCTGCGAGAAAGCGTGACAAGTCATGATTGATCAGCGCGTTTAGCCACACCAAGCTATACACTAATGTAGACTAGGTGCTGACAGTTGTATACAAAATAAAAAATTTATAAACAAGGTGCTATAGGCTGGTGGGTAGCACAAGCCTCACAGCACTGAGTGATCTGGACCTGCTCCCAGATGTGTTGCTGAGTCTCCAGGATTTTAAAGAGATGTTTCAAGCCTGTTTGGAGCCCCGGGTGCTCTTTGAGCAGTTGCCACCACTGAAAAATCGGAACACATGCTTGTTCTTTTCCTCTGTACAATAACTTTCTTAGCTTTCATGCATGACGTGCTCTTAAATCATTTGCAGGACGTTGCAGAAGAGGTACAAGTTACATGTTCTGCTAGGGGAACAGGATCTGACTGCTCTGCAGCTCATGTATTATAGGAAATGGGTAGTCTTTCCCCTCTTCATCTTCTCTGGGCCAAACTTAACTTTATTTATCTCTTTCATGCTCTTCCTCAGCCATTTCTTTTCCAAACTGAAGAGTCTTCATACAGAAGCAGTTCCACACCTCAGACCATATAAATTTTTCTTTAAAGTAACTTCAGGTGAGGCGGGGTACATATTTGGACAAGTTTGTCTTCCTGTCTCTTGGGAATCCTGTTGCAATAATGCTTTTCCTTTGGGATTCAGCCCAAGCCTCACCTTCCAAAGGTGGTTGCTACAGCAGAATCTACCTTTATATCCACCAAATGGGAACTCAGCACTAGCATTTATTTTCCACAGCAAAAGAAACTTGAAAAAATTCCTCAGCAGGCAAAGAAATAATTCACTTCAGACTATAAATAGGTATAAAGGATTTTGACATGTTTGCAGACTTCTCCAAGTCTATGGCTTTGCATCCGTACCAATCACATAGCTCTCAGAACATAGAAATAAGAATATGTCTTGCTTTGCATTCGTGAAGCACATATACAGGACCCATCAGAGTTTGAGGCTCTGTTGTCTTAAGAACTGTACAAAAGAGTAGGAGGCAGGGATTTCTATCCCACTTCACATGTGGAAGCTGGCACAGAAACTTGGTAAGGTCATAGAGATGATACTACAGAAGCATCGGGAATTAAACCAAACTTTCTTGAATTGTAATCTAGTGCTTTTGGATCCTAAATTTCATTGCTCTTACTGTGGGCATATTTTTTCAATGAGCTGTAGCTTTATGCTTGTTTAGATGAGTTCCTGGAGTTGCATGAAGGCTTGGTACAGGGAACTTCAGCATATTCCCCAGGAGATCTCTGATAGTTTGAGTTACGCTGATGAATGCCAACAGGATGTGTTGATGTCGAGGCCAACACCTTCCACCGAGAGGAGCGCTCTCTGGAATTTCTTAGCTGCTGTCACCAGTTCTTCTTTACTGTAGGGATTTAATTACTGTGTTAATCAGGAGCCAGACTAGATTCCAGAAGCAATATATTGGGTGTGAATTCCAGGGATTTCCACAGATATCGAACCTGTAGGGCTGTGGTCAGATACTCAGTGAGCATGTTCTTATTCAGTATCTTGCTGGAGCTGAGGTATTTTAAATGCCACACAAGCACAAAGCTCTTACCCGTTTCCTCTCCTGACTTGGGGAAGGTTACAGAAGCAGTGTGTTCTGGATCAGTGTCCATGCAGGGAGATTATAGGCATAAATAGAGCCTGATAATCGATGTTGCAGGATGCATGCAATTAATGGTAATAGAAAATTAATGTTAGCACCTGTGGTCTTCTGTTAGGTGAATAATATTCTCCTAGGGAAAACTACAGGCCCCCTAAATCCTTCAGAACTGTAGAGTCAGCAAGTACTGCTGAAATACTCTGTTGCATTTCAAGGAAGTCAATAATATCATTAGCTTCAAAAGCACTATTCAGATGGTGTTCTGCATTTATCCTAATTTTTTTCCATTGTGTGCTGTCTTCCGTAGCACATTTAGGGGAAAAATGAAAAATTCGTACAGCCATCAGCGTTGGGAGAGCATTTCACTTGTGATTTGCAAGACCCTTGGCAGTTCTCCCTGGCTAAAACCAAAAGTGTTAGCTTCACTCTGAAAGATAAAGTTTTGCTAAACTCTCCCTGTGTCTGTAGTCTCGTCCCTGACCACAGGTCATTGAGGCTCCCTCTTGGTTGCAAATTAGGACCTGAACAGTGGTCATAACCTCTCCTACTGACAGAGCGGTATGGAGAAAGAGTTGCCCTAGGCCCTACGATTTTTTCATAAACTGTTCTGTACTTGTGAGGATATTGGGAGCTCCTAAACAGAGAAGGAAGAGGGAGGGAGGACCAAGTTCAATGGCAAAGGCAGTGTGTTTGGAGTGTTGTTGCACGCTTCAAGTAATAGGAGGCACAAGGTGGCACACCAGGCAATTTTAACCACACATTGAGTGTATTAATTCTCTTGAAATGCGCTGCTTGCCTTGTCACTATTCATGTTCTGAAATTGATTTTTTTAAATAAAAAAAGAGGCAGAAGTCAGACTAGCTCATAGACTGACAACCTGTCAAAAGGCTGTGCTTCCCCAGAGCGGTTTCAGAACAACGGACTTTGCTTCATCTTCATTTCTCCTTGGTGTCCAGGAGAACACCAAGGGGGTTGTCCATATTTTTCTCTTGTTTGTTTTTTGTTTAGGCAAACTGTGGCTCATTTCTAGTAGAAATCTGAATTGTTTTGTATTTACAACCCATTTTCTTCTGGATATACTAGAAATGTGTTCATATTTTTAAAATCAACCCTTTTCTGGTCCAGTGTATTGTAAAGTTTCACCTTCCTGATGTCAGACTTTTAGTGGGAACGGGAGACTGCAGAGGCTTTCATCTCTGTCCCTTAGACCACATCCAGTGCTGTAAAAATTTAGCATACAATTATGATTGTTAGTTAACTTAAACTTGAAAAAAAAGGGAAGATGATCTGTCATTGGCTTTCACCAATCATTTTAGTATAAATTGATTATCTGCATAAAGTTTATATTTCTGCTTTATTCCATAATGCCTGCTGTGGTTACTAGAAGGGGCAGTCATCAACATGAGATTGACAATAAATACACAAAATCCTGGTTGAAGTCAGAGGGGTCAGTCTAACACTGAGCACTGCAGAAGTTACCAGAAATGGCTTATCTGCTCAAAATCCCGGCTGCGACCGCCTGCCCTCCCGCTGCGCCGTGGAGGAGCCCCAGGGCGGTCTGGGGTTTGCAGCCTGCATCCCTTCTAGCACAGCAGGCTTCGCAGCGGGCGTGTGGCCAGGGAAAATGAAATTAAGAGCATCTTGACAATATTTCATGTTCTTCCAAACGCCTTTTCAGTCAGTCCTTTGGGTTTGAGGCTGTGAGCGCTTACACTGACCCAGCTTGGTGCGGCTGTCCTGTAGCCAAGGCAAAATGGCATCTTACGAAAAGGGTTTTTGAATGGCGTATCTGGTAGAGCAGGGTGGCTCCGAGTGACCCCCGGCAGACTCACCATCCCTCTCCCCTGTCTCCTAGGTCTCGCATCCGCCGGGAGCTGTTCATCGAGGAGATCCAAGCTGGGAGCCAGAGCCAGGCTGGGTCGAGCGATTCTCCTTCCGCCAGAAGCAGCAGGGCCGCTCACAGCTCCGAGGGAGACAGCTGCGATGGCGTGGACGCAGAAGGCCCACCTGAAGGAAAGCCAAGTGGCCCGGAGGCGGATGAGTACAGCAATGCAACCACAAAGTCTCAGGGAGGGCCAGCGGAGTCGGCATTCGAAGCGGGGGAAGAGGCACTGCAAGGCGCCAGGTCTTCGGAGAAAACGGAGCCGTTCCAGGCGGAGAGCCTGGAGGACACCGATGACGAGGGCAGGCTCAGAGCACCGCGCCAGAGCTCTCCACCGGCGTCGCAGCGCCCGGGAGAAGCTCTGGAGACACTGCCAAACTCTGCCACGGAAGGGGATGCCTCTACCTCAGCTGCCTCCACCTCAGTCCTTACAGGGGAGAGCTCCTACAAGTCAAAAGAAAGTTCAGAGAAAATCTCCAGTGTGCCAAGTACGAGCTCGACGCCGGCCGCAGGCTTGCAGAAAGCCAACTCTCTGCAGAGCTTGTTCGGCTTGTCCGAGGCGGTGAGCTCCAGGAACACGCGAGACAGCTCCTTGAGGAAAAAGAAAGCGGCAAACTTGAACAACATCATCCACCGCTTGGAGAAGGCCGCGAGTCGAGAAGAGGCCGTCGAGTGGGAGTTTTGAGATTAAACTCGCCCAACTCTGGAGAGCTGGGAAGTGAAACTGGACCTCTACTGGTTTTATTGTGTTGCGCACTTAACCGCCCTGCGGGCCACAGGGCAAAAACGCCATAGGCCAAGGTGCATATAGAAAACAAAAAGGAGCGTTAAGCCCAATTTATGTTTGTGTTTTCGAGGAAGAAAACTGAAATGTGTAGTCAAGCTTTTTTGTACCCTGAAGTGTTTTTATTATTGCCCTAAGTGATTTCCACAATTTCTGGAATAACTCATACAGCTTTGCCTTGTGCCCTCCTCTTTGGTGTGGGCTTTAAAAAAAGAAAAACAGAAAAAAAGAAAAAAAAAAATCAAACCCACATATTAAAAGGGGGCTTTTTATCTGCCATCTAATGGCTACAGAGCGATAATACACTATTATCTTCTTAAACCAGGAAAAAAGGGGAGATTTTTCAAAAAAAAAAGAAAAAAAAAAGAAAGTTTTTTGTAGCTGTTCAGTTGCTGCTAAGAGATTGCACAGTCAACCGACTCTAAACACACTAGTTTGGATTCCTACATATTTTCAAGAAAAGAAAAGAATCTTGTTGTTTGAAACTTTGAATTAAAAAAAAAACCACATTTACTCCACATATTTTTTAACAAAACAAAAAAAAAAAAGTCACATCAGGAAAATATCTTAATTTGTGGTAGCTGACTTAGTGTTTTCTTGTAAGTGAAATAGAATATTGACACGTAGTGCACATTGTTTCATAGCTTTAACTGATTCTGGTCTTTTGCAGACCAGAATTTGTTTAATACACTCCATTTTAGGCCAAATCAGGACAAAAAAAAATCTGAATCTAGGTATTTTATAATCTGCTTTTTAACCTCTAACCACAGAGCACGCTGATCAGACCTCATATCTAGGAGGTTTAGGAGACAACTTAGAAAGAGCATGTACTTGATCATTTCACTTGGTTCGTAGTGTACAGAATTTCCTTTCAGTAAAGACAGATAGCTCAAAAAATGTTGGCCAGTAACATTTCAGCCTGCTACTTCGGAGACGTATTCCGTAACCCAAAATATTCAGCTTACCTGGAATCGATTAAAGTGTAGTTCACGTGTACGATTGCTGTCACACACCACTAAGAGGGGACTGGAGCTGCCTCAGATACAAAAAGACCCACACCCAACCGACTCTAAACACACTAGTTTGGATTCCTACATATTTTCAAGAAAAGAAAAGAATCTTGTTGTTTGAAACTTTGAATTAAAAAAAAAACCACATTTACTCCACATATTTTTTAACAAAACAAAAAAAAAAAAGTCACATCAGGAAAATATCTTAATTTGTGGTAGCTGACTTAGTGTTTTCTTGTAAGTGAAATAGAATATTGACACGTAGTGCACATTGTTTCATAGCTTTAACTGATTCTGGTCTTTTGCAGACCAGAATTTGTTTAATACACTCCATTTTAGGCCAAATCAGGACAAAAAAAAATCTGAATCTAGGTATTTTATAATCTGCTTTTTAACCTCTAACCACAGAGCACGCTGATCAGACCTCATATCTAGGAGGTTTAGGAGACAACTTAGAAAGAGCATGTACTTGATCATTTCACTTGGTTCGTAGTGTACAGAATTTCCTTTCAGTAAAGACAGATAGCTCAAAAAATGTTGGCCAGTAACATTTCAGCCTGCTACTTCGGAGACGTATTCCGTAACCCAAAATATTCAGCTTACCTGGAATCGATTAAAGTGTAGTTCACGTGTACGATTGCTGTCACACACCACTAAGAGGGGACTGGAGCTGCCTCAGATAGAGAACTTTTCCTGCTGTTGGTGGCCATTTACTGACTCTCTTCCCACCACAAGCACTGATTTTAAATACGTTTTAGTTGTGGGAAGCTTGCTTTTGCATGGAAAAAAGAGTACATGGCGATGACCAGACGGGCTCTTACCGCTACGGAAATAGCCCAAACTCCAAACCAAAACATTCATGCTCTCGAGTCCCAGTCTAGACCGTTTTGCCCTGCAGAAATACAGCCTTTTTCCATTATTTTATGCACAGGTTAGGGCTGATCAAAGTACAAATCAAATTCTAACTTGTCTCTAACTCCTCCTGTTGTCTATATGTATATGCGTGAGCATAGAGGTGTGTGGAAGGATGTGTGTGCGTGAGTGTGTGCGTGCAATTTTATACGTCTGTGTATTTTCTTACGTACTTGTGCACACATAGAGTGCATTACTGCCACCTTTTTTCAATAAGCTGTTTTATCAGTTATGGCTTCTACAAGTTTGCTAATTTAGACTCCTTTATTGCCATATCTTTAAAACTAACAATAGATGATTTCGGAATATATATATATATAAAAATATATATATATATAATTTTTTTTTGCTTATTTATAGGTGCTGTATTTTATTATCTGATTGTTAGGAAGGGATGAAAGGGGGCAAATATTCTTTAGAGGGATAGACTGCCGGCAGTATTTGGTATAATTTACAAGATGTAGTTGTCATACTGTATATTATTGATTGAAGACTTTTTGACCGTATTGTGTATCATTGAACTTTTGTCTTAGGTCAGCATCTTTTTGATGACACTTTAATGGTGCATTCATTACTTCTTAAGTTTAATTAATATTACTTTTCTGATTTTGGGGGAGGGAGGGATGGGGAGAGGAGTTCCGACTTTAAAGGTATGTTCCCAATATTACACCTCAGTGTGCTTGTATTAATTCATTAGTAGGATTTTTGACTGTAAGATGTGAAACCACATTTCTTGCATGATGTTTTAGAACTTATGTATTTCATTTACAGTCTCTTAACATGCAACAGCAGCACTTAGCGCAAGTTTTCACAAATTAAGAATCAGTACACTAAAATCAATCCTTATCATGATTAAGAAAAGAAGGCTCTAGGAGGCTGAAAGGCAGGGATTTATTTCCTATTTTTACTGCTAGCTGTTTCAGGATACCTCCGTGGGTAATTGGGGACTTGTGATGCAAAACTAAAATTGAGAAACGGAGAGAGCAACTGCCCCTTTCTGTGATGAGCTGAGGAGACAATTTGTAATAACAGACACCAGTATGCGACAGCACGTGCTGGAAGCGGTTACGGCTTCTGATCTGGAGTGCAGTTAGTCCGTGGGAACGGCCAGCGAGGGAAATAACGCGGTGAAGCAAAGTGTTACCTCTCTGTATCTGTACAGTGTCCTGGTGTGACGTACAAAGCACAGCTCCATCGATAAATGCACGTCCTGGTAAAAATAGACGTACCTTAATACAAGTCATAACAAGATGCGTCTTCAGCCAAAAAGCAAAACTTCTGACTAGAAGACGCAGATATTTTCTTATGTTCTTTATTTTTTTTCTTTGTTGTTGTTTGGTTCAGGTTGGGTTTTTTTAATTAATTCTAGGCAATGCACTTGCCAGTCTGTTTCTACTGTCCTTGTCTGCTGATTGGAGATCCAGGTGCTTGATGCAGTCAAATGGTTACTCTCGGCTTTCTCGATAGTGAGGTTTTTTTCTGTTTGATGATACTTTTTTAAATTAATATTCCCCAAACTGTTCTTGTGCCTGTGTCTATACGATTGCATTCCATGATGCTTACTGAGAGCTCTTGCTGCATTATACGACAGCAGAACTGTATTCACAGATTGAACGCAAATGCAGCACTTAAGGTCAATCTCTCTTCTTAATAAGCAATACGTAAGTGCCTTGAAATTTATATCTTTTTTTTTTTCCCCTGTTTATTTTTGTTTTTCTTTTCAAGTTTCCACTAGTTCTTTAGGATTCTTTAGCGTCTGCCCGGTTTTTAATGCTGTAATTATTTTTAAAAAGCATATCTGTAGCTTGCCCTAGAGGAAATCTTTCTTTTATAACACTAACTGTTAATTCTAAGCTCCATTATTACATTTGAATCATGTAATTTCGCTGGATAAAGACAGCATTCATAAGTCAGAAGTCACTCCATCCTGCCAAGGGTTGTCATTGGTATCTATTATAAAATTAATCAAATAAAATGCTGTCAGTATTTCCTATATTTTTGGCACTTTATTAATGGCTTAGCTCCTTTTGTTGCTTCATATTTAATGATCTGCATTGAATGTGGATTAGCCTGCTGAGATGCTGTTGGGGTGACCCGGGCCGTCCTGCCGGGAGTCACTTTGGGTTCCTTAGTGACCACCTTATTTAAAGGCACGGGCAGACGAACACCCTCAGATCGAGCTCTTGGAGTTTAAGTGATGTTCCCAGCTGTTTGTTCCCGATTTTTAGCCAAGGTCACAGCTGCTTTTCTGTTTCAGTGGAAAGTAAAACGGATTAGCTTGAACTACTGCTGAGATTCTCTTGTTGGAGATGAGTTAGCTACTGGCTTTCCAAACTGGCAGAGACCTCCCGGTTTAGAGACTGAACTTCAGCAACACTGAAAGATTTTTAGCTATATTTCTGATCAAGTGCGGCATTTGAAAGTAACGCTTTTAGGAAAATGTGTATTGGAATAACTTTTTTTATTTAATTAAAAGAAAAGGATAAAAAGTTGGAGGAGAAGAAATGCCAAAGAGTAGCACGCTGGCTTTTTACCCTCTTGGGTCACCGATTACGCGGGAAGGGAAAAGGCATTGTTTAGGCACGTGTGACGGGGGGCTCGTTTCGCGGGGCAGTCATTTTATAGAGTGCAGAGCGTGGCACAGAGCCCTCGCTGATGGCGTTTCTTTTCCTGATGGGTAAAAGCACAGGTAGTTTTCAGAAAATCTGTAATGCCAGAGTCTGTTTTTTCCTGAGGTTCTCTAAAAGCATTTTTATTTTCTCTTTCTGATTCCAGTTCCATGCTCTTACTAAAGCTGTGGACGAAGGGCCCAACTGCAGTTAAAATTGTCAATTTTTCTCCCTGGATGGTTAGGGAAGGAAAAAAGTGTAATACTTCGTTTGCTAGAAGCAAGGGAAGAGTATCCCTTGGCAGAGGGGTCATACAATATGATTGTCGATACGCTTCCATTTTTGAGGATACAGCTTTCAGACAACAGAATTGCACATGTTTATTGGCAGAAATGCATTTAATTACAATTGCTGTTGATTTTGACCGTTTTATTTATTCATCTGTAAAATGCCTATAAATAGAGCCGCTCTTTAAGGGAACCTGTATCAGTGCACTCGGCCCATATCGTGAATTAGTGAGTCCTTTAGTAATAAACTCCTTGCTGTAATAGGAAAGAGCTACCTTACAGTTAAAAGGAAAAAAAAGTATGTGCCTTTCTCATTAGGTGAAAGATCTTTGCGTTATTTTTATGTAACTTGTTCATACGGGAATGGTGTAGAGAAGGGGGTTCATGAACACAACAGAATTCTATGCAATATCCTCTGATCCAATTACTTAGAAGTTGCTATTTTTCAATCCTTTAATGGGAGAAATAGTAA